CAAATCGAGTTAACAAAAACAATGTGTGTGTTATAAAAACCGAAATAAATTTCGAACAAACCCGATAAATATAAATGCCTGTATAAACTCCACCCAAACATTTTAAACACAAATTAAATTCGAACAATTTTTCCAGTTTAAAGTTGCCCAACGTATAGCCAGATTATCATTACAAAAGTTAATGGATGCAATTAAAGTTATTTATTGAAAAGCAATTTATAAAATAAAAAACCTTTAATGTGTTTTTTCCATGCATTTTGCGGTGTTCCGCAAGAATCCTAACGGTAGCCACTATAACTGCTATAGGGTGTCCCAAAAGTCAATGGGCCAGCTTATGACTAATCAGAATATCAAAACACGACCTGGTGTTATTATACACTTAAGGAATGTTATTTTGTTTGTTTAAACTTTATTGACGTTTACTTAAAAATAAGAATATTTTAATTTTTAATAATAGTTTTATAAAAACATGCAAAAAATTATAGTGATTGGACATTTTATATAGTACCTAATTGGACACATGGACCATAGTTATTGGACACACAATTTTTTTTATTTCGTTTTTGTAAATATCATATAATTCATATATTTCTTTCTCGGATTCCTCATGCCTTTTCTGGATTCTGAAGGAACTACTAATTCCTTGGTCTGACTTCTTTAGCAGAAAACTAAGTTTCCTAAAAAAATTTCTCTCCAATGTTATTGTTAACTATTTTTTAATGTATAGCCAACATCTTCTTTGAGATGTTCCACAGGGACCACAACGGTAGCCACTTATGTCGCAGATCCTTATTAATGATGTTTTTTGTGATAAAACCGACTATAACTGAAATGTTTTAGGATTTTATGGTGCTCTAACAGCTAATTTATAAGGCAAATAAAAAAATCAACGCAGCGAGACCGTAGTACGGGGCGAACCCCACAATTTGGGGTGTCGCAGAACGTATTAGGATATTAAATTATCATGACAAAAGGAACAATCAGGGGGTAAATGGTGATAAATATACAACAAACATGCATCCCTTCTGGCCACAGGTTTTATAGACGCAATATGCTGACAAATTTGAGGCCCAAGGCCATGAATAATTAAGCAAACAGTCGGATGCTGCTGCAAAACAAGTGACGATCGCTGCGCAAAGGACGACAAGTTCAATTGTTTGAAGATTAGCGGATGGTCGCCAAATGTCACTGTTATGTTTTGCCGCGCTTGTAAAAACATTAATCCATTAAGTAGATGTAATCAGCCTACAAAGAGTTAAACATAGAATTAACTTTAAAGTATTTTTTACGGTTAACCAAAACGGTTTTATAACGGTATAGATACGAAAAATTACCAAATTTGGGGAATGGTTTATTTCGTTATTATACCTACATAATAACCTTTTTGATCTACTACTAAGAGAATAACGTAATAAAAACAATATAAATACCACAAATTTACGTAAAAAAAAACGCTATAATTACTAACTGTTTCCTCTCTCTTTCTAAAACATTGACATTCGTAATTTCTTTGTTCTTTTAATTTATATTTTACAACATGGTACTTACAAAGTAATAAAGGCCACCCTAGAGTGAAATTAAAAAATATAACTTCAATTGTCAAAAGTTTTTTTGTTTTTTTGTTTTTTTCACTCAAAACTAATAATATTTTGCATTAAAACTCAAACGCACATTATTTTATTTTTCCCTGTTTAGTCAATATTAATAGTATTTATTACCACTAATAACCCTAAAAAATACCAGGCGAATAGGAATTATTTACGGTTATAAACTTTATAACATAATATAAAGTGGTCTTAATATCGTAAAATTATGACTTATGAGTAACATTTACCATTAAGTAAAAATTCTGACGTTAAAATTACCGTTAAATTTTTCTTTAGGTAAAATACACTTATAAGTAATTTTCTTTCGTAAAAATTACGTCCCTCATAATTCTTTAAAGTGTTGAAAGTGTTGAAAGGTAAAAATAACATAAATAAAACATATTAAATAACTTTAAAAAAGTTGTAACTTTAAAGTATATTTTTAATGTTAATTTAACAAAATATTTACTAAATTACTTAAATTAAGTAATAAGCTCTGCGCTTTTACTTAAAATGCTGCTTGGGTTAAATTAACCTTAAATTAACGCTATTGTGTAATAAGTGGGAAATTAAAACAATTTTTCTCGATTTTTTTATTATAACTTTAGTTATTAGTACCTACTTAATATTAATAAAATAATAATAAAAAGTCAATATAATCATTGTCTCGTTGAACTACCAAAAAAAATTGTCCAGCTTCTTTGAGGCAAAATACGTTGACTAGGACACATAACCTCTTTACTGTTTTAAAGATAAAAATTTCTGGTACCTTTACTAATTTTTATTACTGTGACACAGCAGAATGCACAGTTTTGCCAAGCTGGTATAAAAAATACATAAAAACGTCTTGTGGCTTCAAGATAGTTTAAAACACCAATTTCTAATACCACAAATGGTCTTTTTCTGTAATATTTGGAATATATTCTCAACTATATAAAAAAAGGAGGATGTTATTTTACTCTGTGTTTAAATAGCATTAAGTAGTAAATATTTAAAAAAAACCTTTATTTTAAGATTTTGAATGGAACATTTTTCTTGACATTTGAATAAGAAATGCAGTTAAATAATTGAGGTTATGTATCTGTCAATTATTTGACTGCATTTAAATGTCAAGGTGAGACTTTTTGATGTTGAGCATAGTACCTTGTATTTGTAATTTGGTAATTTGGTTTCATCTTATTTGTATCATCGGTTTCTGGGCAAACATATCGCGCCCATTAATTAGTGTGTGCAAATAACGCAGCAGAGTCGGTGCAAATTGGCAAATAGTTATGTTCATGTACCGTGCCGGCCAAATTAATCAAGAGCAATAATTTGAAATTAAATTTCGACAGAAACTGAAAATTGAAAATATGATTATCCCCAAATTAAATAAAACCTAATAAAGCGACAAATGTGACGTACAATAAATTCTATTTGATTTAGGTATATAAATTAAAAGAGTCGTAAAATTCCAAGCAGTTGTGTATAACAAATATTATACAGACTATTAAGCATTTTATTTTGTAATGGGGAGGGATGGACCGTAATATTGCCTATGTCGTTAAGTGATTTTCTTTATGAAAATCGTGATCCAGCACTGCGATAACGGATTAGAAACATTTACAGCTAATTGAGCTTATTTCAAACATAACAATTGTCTGTAAACATTTTAATAAATATTCGTCCAACAAATGCTTTTGTTACGGCAAAAAGATCATTTTTATAAAAATTATTTATCTACAAACGCGGCTTTCAGTAATAGCATTTGCATTAATTATAAAGTAAATTTACGTTATGTTTCTAAAACTAACACTCTTCCAGATGCAGAAACGCATTGATAAATATAGTTATTATTATTTATCCAAAAAAACAGATCTATAGCGTTTACAAAAACGTTTTGTAGTATTAATGAAACCCTAATGGTTTTATTCATAGAAATGTTGTAAATTTTACAAATACCTTTTCGTTTAAAATAAAACTTTTTTATAATATTAACAAAATACACGGAGAGAAAAGTAAAAAACCTTGAGGTAAAATATTATTATTCTCAACCAATTTTATTTTTAATTCTTATTATAATTAGATTTTTTCCATAATAAGTATAGTAAATTTTAAAATATTATGTTGCCATTTTTAATTAACAATTAAAAATTGTAACATTTTTATTGTACTTTTTAATATACAAAAATGTTATGAGAAAGAATTGAACCTACACCTCGCCAAATTTTTTTGTTTTGAGTGCGTTCCATCAACTTCAAATACCGACAGACAGGTGTTTTGACCTATATTGGGTATCATCAGTGTCGACACGACACTGTCGAGCAACTTGTAGTAGTGGAACACACCCAAAACAAAGAAATACCTGAGCTTATATAACATGGTTGGTATACCAACCATGTTATATAAGCTCAGGTATAAGCCAACAGAGGCGAGATGTAAGAACATCACGCGATCCACACCGTCTAACGACGCGTCGCGACGTGGCCTTTGCCGCAATCGGTACATACTATGCAACCAAGTAGGTTCAATTATTTCTTATAAGTATTACCAGTAATGGGTCAAGAAAGTTTATTAAAGAAACTAAGAAAATTGAATGTTTAAAATGTCATGAGTTACTATATTGTATATTATATTTAAATATATTGTTTATTTACCTTAAACATAAAAGTATCTTTATTTTTACTATATTTTTTATTAATGTGTAATATATTATAATATTAGATTTACACCTTACATTTGATTAAATCATATAGTAAATATTACTATTTGTAGATAGTAAAATCAATTTACTATACGAACATATTAAAAATTAAAATATATATTATACATTTATGATTTAGTAATATTGCTAAACAACATTGTAATCTTTACTAAAATTGTATAATAAAAAATAGTATTTTGTATTACAATCTTAATATTGTATTGGCGAATATATAATATTGTTACCCTAAAAATTTGTTAAAGTAAATATTACTATATTTATTTTACTATCTAAAATTTACTATACATTTCTCTCCGTGTACTTTATGTAAGCGCAATTCACACACAACTATAGATTTAACAAAAACATTTTAAGTTCGACAAAAATTTAATATAAACATAAAGTATTTCTTATTGCCATGACAATATTATTACAACTATTACTTTGTTGGATGAACATTTTTTTATAAAAGCTCAACATTGCTGCTTCATTATAGTAAATGAGAATTTTATTAACAGTAAAAAAAGTTTATTCTGTAAATAAAAATAATCTCATTACTTTGACAAATCGTAGGTTTTATCCCAATAAGACACTGAAAATTTAATAAAAAAGGTACCTTAGGTGGTACATTTTTTATAGCCATTACAATTTTAAATATAAGTTAAATAATATTATTTTATTAATCGCTTACAAAATTAGTTTCATTATCAGTGTATTTTGTGTTTTTTCAGGTTGCGGCCCTGGACATGCCCTGCTAGGCAAAACGAGAAGGCCCAGGACAGCTTTTACATCTCAGCAACTTTTGGAATTAGAAAAACAATTTAAGCAAAACAAATACTTGTCGAGACCGAAGAGATTTGAAGTAGCGACAAATTTAATGTTAACTGAAACACAAGTAAGTTTTATATAATTTTTTTGTACACAAATCATATACAGGGTGTCATACTTTAAGGCCAAAATGAATATAATTAATAATAAAATCGCTTATTTTTTTATTTGCACACTCAGAAATGTTTTTAATAAATATAACAAAAAAGTAGTTTGTCTTAATAAAGTAAAGATCCCTATTCGTTCAACAATTGCTTTTGTTACGGCAAAAAGATCATTTTTATAAAAATTATTTATCTACAAACGCTGCTTTCAATAATAGCATTTGCATTAATTATAAAGTAAATTTACGTTATGTTTATAAAATAACACTCTTCCAGATGCAGAAACGCAATGATAAATATAGTTATTATTATTTGTCCAAAAAAACAGTTCTATACCTTTTACAAAAACGTTTTGTAGTATTAATGAAAATTAATGGTATTATTCATAGAAATTTTGTAAATTTTACAAATCCCATTTCGTTTAAAATAAAACTTTTTTTATAATATTAATAAAATTTATGTAAATTTAACAACAAATTTATTGTTAATCAATAAACTATTTTCATTGTAACAATGGGCACATTTTCAACCTACTGTTGGGTGTTGGGTAGTTTTTTTTTAACAATTGCAAGGCATTAAAACAAATTATTTATTATAACAAAAAAATTATATGATGTACAAAATAAAAAAATGAACTCACTTTTTAAACAACAAGTCTGCTTCGTTTATAGAATAGACCTTAAATATTTCTTTTAGAAAACGTCGAAATTTTAATTTTCTTAGTGATCTTTTTGATATTTTTATCATGCTAGATTTTACCACACTTCACTCGCACAAGTGAAATCAATAAGATTATAACACAGACTGTGGATTATTAAGTTATGTTCACCAAGGAGAGCGCTGGCCCTTTCCCCCTCTTTTTAAGGGAAATAACAAAAATTTTGTTACCATTGCAAAACAAGAGTAAATATTAAAAAAGTCTTTTTATAGCAATAAAATATTTTTGTTATCGTTCTTAACGCAAGCTATTAACAAAGATTTTCTAACTGAAATAAAATTAATTTAACAAATTGTACTATAACAACTGCGCATTACATTATGTAAGCGCAATTCACACACAACTATAGATTTAACAAAATCATAATCAAATTTTAGTATTTCTAGAATTTTACGTAGATTTTAAAAATGCAATAATATATGGGTGATTCTACAAAAGTTGGGCAACTTTTGACCTCATTTTTTTTATATAGTTTTCGAAAAAAATTAAACAGTATTTTGTTATGAGAACATAGATAATATAATAAATATACTGTTCCAGACCGTTTTTCAAACAGTTTCTAAAATATCTGTGTTTTCTAAATTTGAATGCAAGGGAAGTGACGGGTATACCAGGGATGATTTATTGCAACTATTGCAACTGCAACAAATATCTTAAAATCAAATAATACCACACATCAGTGGCGGCTGGTGGATTTTGGGTATACCGATATCTCAATTATTAGATATTGGACCCACACCAAATTTATATGAGTTTATAATGACATTAAATAAACAAGTTCTGCGCAAGCAGAATTTAAATTGAAGTTTGCGAAAAAAGATAACCGAAACATCGAACATGGAACTGACGACACGGTACTGATGAATGTGATACAAATTTGAGATTATAATTCGGAATTAAGTATTTTACTGATATTTTTTATCAGTGGATGCTACTTATCAACAAACCACATATAGCCTTATATAAATTACAATGAAATATATACACGTAAGAAAATAACTACTCGCCACAGTACTGAAACTATACGTGCATTCACCACAACTTCGCCGCTTGCATTGTTTGCAAGATGACTGTCGTGCAAAGGGCGGGCTCTGTAGGTAATTTTTTACCAACACTTGAGTTAAAACGAGTACTTGACGTTTAAACTTCAATATTTCGCAGGAATTTTGAATTTTAACATTGGACACAGAACTGACGGGTAAAAGTGAGTACAAAGATTATCAATTTTTTACAAATTGCTATTATTCGAATCTATAATAAAATATGAAAAATACATTATTTAATGTTTTATAGTTTGTAGTGAAATTGAAAAATTTAAGATAAATTGAATATTTTTTAAAATAAAATCACTCAAATATTTGATTCAGGAGTTGTGACACGCCAAGGTACTGATGTTTTGAATATTTATTATGTTTTTCTACAAACGTGCTTTTGAAAAAATACATTAAAATTGCTAAAATTACTAAAATAATTACAAAAAATATTAAAATACCTACTCTATTGACTGATGACATCAAGCTGTCCAACTTTTGTAGAATCACCCATATAGTTTCATTTGAAAAACCAAACTTGTTATCACTCATCTTTCTGCAGACGAAAATCTCTTAAATGCTCCGAAATGCTGGGATTACAGCGTGTTTATATTTGAGGATGAATTTATAGCCTAAAGGTTTTCAAGACATAAATGTCATATTTACCCTCGTATAAAGATATTTGCCACAGTTTTTCATCCGGATCCTGAAATATGGCTTCTTGTGTTTGCTTGAGGTTTCGAATAAATCTCATAAAAACAAACATATGTATATGTATATACCTACTTGAAAATTCATTCCATCTCCATGGAAATTTATTTGTGTCCGATTTGTTTTCGTTTCAATAAATATTGTTCTGTTTGTTCCAGGTCAAAATATGGTTTCAGAATAGACGCATGAAATGGAAGCGCAGTAAAAAGGCCCAGCAGGAATCGAAAACTTCAAAAGAGCAGGAGTGCAGTTCGACTAAATCCACACCTGAAACGAATACAAAACCCATACGTAGCCTAGGGTCCCTAAAAATGTCAAGCCAAGAGAGCCAAGATAGCCCAGTGCCGAGTTCAGAAAGAAAAATTGACGAATCTCTATACAAACCGTATTTGGTGTAATTTTAGATTTAACATTATTTATTTCTTGTGATATTTTTGTTTGTTTTATTTTTTTTACATTAAAAATGTATATATTGTTGTAAATAAAGATTAATTATATTAATTGAAAAAATGTATTAGTTGTAATCAGTGCTACCTCATTTATTTTGTAATTTAAAAGTGTACATATTTCAAGTTCCTAATTGTAATAAATTTTAAAGTGTAAAATAAATTTTATGAGGATTAAAAAGGGTTTTTATTTAAAATTTTCCTGGAACTAATAAAAGTATAAAAGGCAATTTTGAAAATATTTTGTTTAATTCAAATTCGAATAAACTTTCTTTAATGTTAATAAAATTCTCATTTACTATAATGAAGTAGCATGTTGAGCTTTTATAAAAAAATGTTCATCCAACAAAGTAATAGTTGTTATCATATTGTCATTTCAATAAGAAATACTTTATGTTTACTTATATTAAAACCTTTGCCGAACTTAAAATGTTTTTGTTAAATCTATAGTTGTGTGTGAATTGCTTACATAAAGTAATGCGCAGTTGTTTTAGTAAAATTTGTTCATTTTACCATGGCATATTTGTCTTTTTTAAATTACTATCGTTGTAATTCAAATTAATTTTATTTCAGTTAAAAAATCTTTGAATAGCTTACGTTAAGAACAATAACAAAAATATTTTATTGCTATAAAAAGACTTTTTTATATTTACTATTGTTTTGCAATGGAAACAAAATTTTTGTTATTTCCCATAAAAAGAGGGGGAAAGGGCCAGTGCTCTCCTTGGTGAACATAACTTTATAATCCACAGTCTGTGTTATAATCTTATTGATTTCACTTGTGCGAGTGAAGTGTGGTAAAATCTAGCATGATAAAAATATCAAAAAGATCACTAAGAAAATTAAAATTTCGACGTTTTCTAAAAGAAATATTTAAGGTCTATTTTATAAACGAAGCAGACTTGTTGTTTAAAAAGTGAGTTCATATTTTTTTTATTTTGTACATCATATAATTTTTTTGTTATAATAAATAATTTGATTAAATGCCTTGCAATTATTAAAAAAAAAACAAACACCCAACAGTAGGTTGAAAATGTGTCCATTGTTAGAATGAAAATAGTTTATTGAATTAACAATTAATTTGTTTTTAAATTTACATAAATTTTATTAATATTATAAAAAAGTTTTATTTAAACGGAAAGAGATTTGCAAAATTTACAAAATTTCTATGAATAATACCAATAGGGTTTCAATAATACTACAAAACTTTTTGTAAACGGTATATAACTGTTTTTTGGACAAATAATAATAACTATATTTATCAATGCGTTTCTGCATCTGGAAGAGTTTTATTTTTATAAACATAACGTAAATTTACTTTATATATTATAATTAATGCAAATGCTATTACTGAAAGCAGCGTTTGTAGATAAATAATTTTTATAAAAAGGATCTTTTTGCCGTAACAAAAGCAATTGTTGGACGAATAGGGATCTTTACTTTATTAAGACAAACTACTTTTTTTGTTATATTTATTAAAAAAAATTCTGAGTGTATTATTATATTAAGGATTTTTTGGACAAAAGAAGGAACATATTTTAATAAATTTGTTTCGTACTATTGTCGGCCACTGTATATTTAATTATACCTATCTAGAAAATTTAAAATAAAAAAGTTTATTTTCAATTATATGAAAATCAAACAGCACAATTCCATTATAAAATTGATGCGGGCCATAAATAAGCCGGCACAATTAAAGAGATCTCGGGAAAACTTTTTCTGGGGAGCTGTACGTGGAAGGGCAATAAATTATGAGTTCCCGACCAAAATTACGAAGATTGGAACCAATCTAAAAGTTTTCGGCCAATCGACGTTCAGCATTATCCCCTCCCCTCTCCGATCCGATCAACATCTCGCCTCAATTGTTTTAGTCGTGTTTTATTTGTTTGCCTCTGGCGCCGCGGCCACCGTTTCCAATGATGGAAATACTTGACAGTCGCTTTTCGTTTCCAAATTGGATTTTTACGCTCCGATCTTGTAAATAAGTGAACGACGGCAAGCGTTTACAATTTTTTCGACGTTACTATCGATTCTCCAGCTTATATTTACACAGTAAAAATATTTGTTTATTTTAACCAAGTATTAACCAGATTTTATGTTAATCCAGGTCCACATCACTTTATTTTAAGTTTACGACTGTTTTGACGTTTTAGAGTAAATATCGGGAATATCGTTTTTTGAAACAAATATTTATTTATTCGTCTACATTAATGTTGTCGCCTTCAAAATAGTCCCCATTGGATATTATGCACATGTGCCAGCTCTTCTTCCAATACTCGAAACACTTCTAAAACTTATCATCTATACTTGCAAAACGACGGCCCTTTAAGGTTCTCTTTATTTTTGGGAATAGGAAAAAGTCAGACAGAGGCATGTCTGGCGAATATGGAGGCTGGGGCATCATTACAGTATTGTTTTTGGCCAACAATTTTGTTCAAAATTTAACAATTTTAGAACAAATTTTGCTGCCACGCGTTTTATACCCAAAACATTCGAAAAAATTTCATGGGATGAGCCAATCGATATATCAACATCATCAGCGACTTCTCTGATGGTTTATAACCATTTCTTCCACTTTTTCCATGTTTTTATCGGTTGTTAATGTGCTTGTGCGTTCGGGGCGTTCGTCATCTTCAACGTCTTCACGGCCATCTTGGAAACTCTTATTCCACTTGTAAACTCTTGTTTTACTTATAGCAGACTCGCTATAGGCCTTTGTTAATATTTCACGGAATTTATTTCATTTTTTAAGCAAGATTGGATACAAATTCTTTAATCCATTTCTTTTGAACGAACGAAAAATCGCCGAGCTGATAAAATACGCCTAACCTTAGCGGCTGCCACAGATAAGTAAACAATGAAAACAGCTAAAATTTTTATCATACTTCGGGGGCATGTATACCAACATAATAAAGAAAATTTTATGACAACCGGACCCTCCGAACCCGCGAAATTTAACAATTCCCGTTATTTTCTTAACACACCTCGTACTTCGAGTTCTAATTGATCGATTTGACCAAACAAGCACTTAAGTTAGTTATCTGTTTAATTTAAACCTTTCCCCAGGGCGATATGTAAATTTTCGACCTAAATTTTTGCCAAAAAAACCGAATTTGTTAAGTTATCAAATACGCTAGCAACAAAATACTTTTCAAATATCAAAAGTATGTAAAAGAAAGTTTTAGAGGGCTCAAATACCTTCATTTTAAGGGCTTGTTTGGCCAAATCGATCATTTAGATTTCAAGATTTCAAAGTTAACCCCGCCCCTCAAAATATGTCTAAATATGTCCCCTGGTGTCCCCATTACTTCATTAAAATTTCACAACCGTTTTCAAGATATTGCCTTGTAACACTTTAAAAAACTCACCCTGTATAAACTTTAACTTTAGGAAACTTAGATATTAGTAAAAAATCGTACTTTATCAGATTTGATTTAATAAGATAATTATTTTCAATGAAAAAGTATAATTATTTTCAGTGAAAAAGTGATAAATGATGATGCACTTTTAGTTATATTTTTATTAAAAAAATATTGCAGAATAGTAAAGGAGAAATCGAACAAAATTGATTTTTTTATTACAGCGTCATGTTTTACAAATATAAAAAAATGTTTTAGACAAAATTTAGTCGAATGTTTCGAATCTGCAATAAACAATAGGGTGTTCCATTGGAACAGTTTCAAGTTCAAAGAATATATTGAGATGTCCCCCAAGTAAAAATGATTATTTTTTTATTTTTGGTTGTTTCACTGTTAGTCTAAAATGGGATTTTTGGGAAGCCACCAGGTCTAGTAATAACATAACATAAGAGGATCTGCACTAATGCAAGAATTTTAAGAAATCATACATTTTGAATATTAGAGCTTCACGGACGTTAGAATTTCGTATGTTTTTTTAAAAATATCCCTTTATATATTTGAAATAAGTTATTGTATCTTTTGACACCTTAATATTTAAAAAAAATACGATTGTACATATGTACATAAAATATTTATAAAAAAATCTACTTACTGAGATATTACACTTCACGGTGGATAGGTTTTAAAATAGCAAATTAATGAACTTTACCTTTTGAATTATAAAACAGCAACAATCTCATCTGCATATAAATTCTAACTGACCTTCAGAAATCACATGCATCTATAATGTCGTAAACAGAGGTTTTTGCTTATTTAAAATGATTAAAGCGCCATCCGTTGCATAAAATTTAAAGTAAAAAAAGATTCACGGAGGATAGAATCAATTTTTGTAACACCTACATAAATGGTTATAAAAATTATGTCTCTTAATTTTTAATAATATTTGATTCGATTGCTTTGGATGTGTTTAATTTACTTAGTGAACTGATATTTTTAGTATGCTTTTACTACCTCAGATATTTGAAAACATATAGGTTAACCTTAAGTTCCAGTCTGGAACTTCCAGATATATATTTTAAAGTTATAGTTTTTTTATTATAATGTTTTAGTTTTAGTGGGGCTATCAGCCACAACTTGTCAATGTGTATTTAAAAGATTACTAAGTGTCATGGAAACATAATGGAGGTTTTAAAGGTGAGGTAGAAAAAGTTATATCATTTCATAGAAAACTAAAATCGTTTCAGTTCCTTGAAGAAATTTAAAACGACTTCGCCTAATATTTAAGTGGATGGGTAATCCTGTAATATGTTTAACTGTTCCAGTTGATGTGTTTTTTCTTATTTCAGTAAGTAGGATCATTTGAGAAAGCAGCAAAAGGGATTACGGAGCCAAGTGTACCTCATACATATAAACATGATATCGAATCAGTAAAGCGCGAACTCCACTTCAGACAAAACCTTTTAGCAAATTACATCAAGAACGATATGGACTTGTAATGCATGCGGTTCGCTCGTTGGGAAATGTGGGAATTTGTGTTTTTCAAGCGTTAAATGTATCTCTCCCTCCAGGAGCTTCAGCTTCAGCTTCCACCACTGCAATCATTTCCGTAGCGCTCGAACCATTCGTTTTCCAAATTAACGCTTAACCTCTACCGATAGCCGTTTGCGGCGCTTTAATTTTATCCTTGTTCGATAATGGTTTTGAGAGCGCCCATTCGATTTTATTGCTTTTAATTTGTTAATTAAAATGGCCC